GTTTTCCTCTTGCTGATTTTCTTCTTGCAGATTTTCTTCTTTGTATTAATTTGCTGATGATGAAAGATCAATCCTACGGAACAAGTCTTTTTGTTCATGACCGTTGATCATTATTGAATTGTTTATGTGGTGGAGTTGTGACTGTAAGTTCTTTCACCCCTCCTGATTTATATCACCTCCACTGTAAGTTATTTATCACCTACATTGGTTATAGGATATATATATTTTTAAATATTTCCATGATGCGATTTTTCACATTTCACGAGGTTTTCATCGCGATTTTCCTCTACGAAGTATACAACATATTATAGAGTGAAACGTTTATCAGACGTTGCATCAATATTGAAATCAATATTGAAATCAATATTGAAACCAATATTGAAATCAATATTAAAATCAATATTATTAGATAATAAGAGACAACTGTATATCATTCAAACTATGATTTATTCTGAATCGACACTAACACTCGAAACTGTCCATAGTACGAATCTTCGAGTCAGCAATTTCCTCATACTCCAACTTTTTCACACTTCCCACGAAGTTCTCACGAAAAACTTCATCGAGAAACTATTACTCAAAATCCACGCATTTTCACTAAGAACCTTTATCATTTCTAGAATATTTTCACTGAGTATATAAATCTATCTAAAATATCCCCACACTAAATAATATTGTTTCTCAATATTTCTGATAATCGATTCTTCACATTATACGAGCGTGTACCCTCAGGAAGTATCCATCATAATATTATGAAGTGAAACGTTAATTAGACTCTGCGTCAATATACAGGGTGTCCGGAAATTATGCGCAAAAAATCAAGGGGGTGATTCCACATTACGAAGTAAGAAATTCATTTTTTTGTGTACGTGGATCCGGAAATGCATAGTTTCTAACATACAGTGTGTTGAAACTTTTAAAGAAGATCGGTTTTTTATGATAATCTCAAATGTCTCTGATTTTCTCGAAATTTGGCAATGATATTTTTCGTCATGAGGTGCTGATATAGCCATAATTCAATTGGAAATATGAAATCCAGTGGCGTCCCGGGGGGCAACCTACCGAATATTATTGTCAATAAAATGTGAGCCACTGATTTTTTCCAATTCTGTATCTTCATAACCTATTTACCAACCAAAAATACAACATTTTGGTCTCTTGGATTGTTTCGATAATTCGCTCCATTTCCATGGAACAAAAATAAATACCAATTTATTGCATAAATTTGTGCTAAAAAATTCCTTCAAAAAGTGGGGTGAAAATAAACGCGGGATCGATGTCTATATAGACATAGAATAAGTATGAAGATTCATCTACTTCAAATATTTCTTTATACATGTTCGACACACTCTACAGTCTGTATATTGAGAACCATGTATTCTTGGTCTAGGAAGGCGTAGTTTTCGATAATACAAAGTGTATCAAAGATGTATCCCAGGTAGCACATCATATTGGCTGGAACCCGATTTCATATTGGGCCGATATAGATATATCGTACATGTGAAACATAATATAGGTCCAATATGAGCGTATATTGGACATACAATATTGAAATGATAATATTGGTGGAATATTGGTTCAACCTGAGCTGAATATAGATTGTCAGCTACAATATTGGAGCAATATTGGTTGCTTAATTCGTTAACAATGTGTTGAAAAACATATCCATAAATGTTCTATAATATTGTTTTACAAATGTCGATACAACAACATCGTATACATATCGTTCCCGACATTAATAACCAATATCGCAATTCGAACATTCTCCCCATGTCGATTCTGAAGCGGTTATGCAATATTGTATATTCAAGTTAAACGGCATATTGGTTGGATATTGTTTTGACAATATTTGAAACATCATATTCACCTATATTGATTGATATCATTTTATCTATATCATGCGGAAGATATCGTATACATTTTGTTTTCTACATTTATAACCAATATCGTGATTTGAATATTCTCCTCATGTCGATTCTGAAGCGGTTGTGCAATATTGTATATAAAAGTTCGATGACATATTGGTGGAATATTGTTTCAAAAATATTCGAAACATCATATTCACCTATGTTGATTGATATCATTTTATCCATATCATGCGGAAGGTATCGTATACATATCGTTTCCAACAATTATAACCAATATAGCAATTTGAACATTCCCCCATATCAATTCTGAAGCGGTTATGAAATATTGTATGTTCGAGTTCGACGGACATTGGTAGAATATTGTTTCAACAATATCTGGCACATTGAATTCACCTATATTGATTGATATCATTTCCACTTTATCACGCGGAAGATATCGTATACATATTGTTTCCAACAATTATAACCAATATCGCAATTTGAACATTCTCCCCATGTCGATTCTGAAGCGGTTTTGCAAAATTTTATATTCGAGTTCGACGGCTCATTTTTGAATATTGTTTATTCGACAATATTCAAAACATAATATTCACCCAAATTGATTGATATCGTTTCAACTATATCATGCGAAAGACATGGAATGCATATTGTTTCAAATATGAATATCAATAACGGCAATTCAATATATATCTTATATCGGTCATAGAAGAGAAAAACAATATTGTATTTTCAAGTTCAATTGCATATCCGTTGAATAGTTTTCCAGGAATATTCAGAAAGTAATATCATCTCATATTGGCTGATATCTGATTCACTATATCATGTGAGCAATATTGTTCACATATTGTTTTGAGAATACATATCGATATCGAAATTTCGATATTAATTCCATAGCATGCACTCTCAAACCGATGTCGATAGATGGCGCTATAAATGATTCGTAACGTACTCCCATTGCCGATCCGACGAGAGCATATAAATATTGGCTCTAGACGATTGTAAAGCATTATTACCTGGAGTAGGAGTTAACCGTGATCAATAAGGCGGCTTCCCCAAGGCAAGGCCAGGTTAGGTTAGGTTGCACTCCGGCTGGGCTGACCTTTGTGCTTATTCCTAATGCAAATAACTCGCAAATATTGATATAAGAATATTCCACCAATATTTCGAAGACAACATAGCTACATAATGATTTTCAATAATGTACCAATATTTCCAACCAATATTGCACCAGTATATTACTATAATATTCCAGCAATATTTGTATGACAATCTATATACTAAGAATATTTTTGAGGCAACATAGCTTCATGATGTTTTTCAATGATTCACCGATATTTCCATATAATATTGCACCAATATTGCCGAATGTTCACCATTAATTTCTCGCCAATATTGATGTTACATTTTGTGACCAATATAACTCCACGGATATTCAACCAATATTGATATGAGGATGTTCTACCCACATTTGGAAACTGATATTGTACCAATATCGCCGAATGTTCACATTTTTTTTCTCGCCAATATTACTTTCACAATATTTTGCCGATATTTTCGTAATATTGCACCGATATTGTCCCAATATATGTGTGCTACTTGGGATTATAGAATATTTGAATAAAACGAATCTTCATTCTCATTCTACGTCTATGGACATGGATCATACATTCAATTTCACCCCTGTTTTTAAAGCAATGTTATGAACGAATTTATACAATGAATTGGTATTTATTTTTTCCACGGAAACGCAGCAAAATAGCGAAACAATTCAAGAGATCAAAATATTGTATTTTTAGGTAATCATTAGGATATGAAGACATGGAATTTTGAAAAAAATCAGTGGCGCACATTTTAATGACAATAATATTCGGTAGGGTGCCCCCGGAACGCCACTGGATTTCACAATTCTGATATAATTATGGCTTAATCAGCCCCTCGTGACAAAAAATATCATTGCCAAATTTCAAGAGAATCGGTGGAAGGATATTAGAGATGTTCATAAAAAACCGATTTTTTCTAAAAAGTTTAACGCACTGTATCTTGAAAACTATGCATTTCCGGACCCAAGTATATATGAAATTATTTTCATGTTTTCTCATGCAGGATCACCCTCTTGATTTTTTGCACATAATTTCCGGACACCCTGTAGAATTAAATATCAATAAATAATAAGTATAAGACATCCTGTTCATCATCCAAACTATGAATTTCAAATCGACACTCACACTTTAAACTCTCCATAGTTCGAAACTTCGAGTCAGCAATTTCCTTAAACTCCAACTTATTTCCAAAATCGCACGAAGTTCTCACGAAAAACTTCATCAAAAAAGTATCACTCGGAATCCAGTAATTTCCACTGAGTACCTATATTCATTCCAAAATATTTCCACCAAGTATACCTTTCCAAAATTAGCCCACACTGAATAAGTTTTTTCGAATATTTCCAAGAAGCGGTTTCTCACATTTCACGAGCGTTTTCCTTCACGAGACGATCCGGTTTTCCGGCATTTTCCGGTCGAAAGGAAAGCAGCCACTGACAGTCGGAGGTCGAGTTAGCCGCCAAAAGTTTGAGGGGGCGTCACGACGCTCGAGTCGGCGTCGCGACATCGGACCGACGCTGCACGACGTCGCATCATAGTCGCCGTGCCGTCGAAATATAGGTAGAGTTTCTGGTTGTCGACCAGCTTGACCGACTGGTCGTTAGTGTCACGTGACTAATCACAATGACTAATACGAATGGTTTTGACAGTTGCAACTGTAAATTAGGAGATATTGAAACAAAAGCTTCTCCCGCCTAATTCACAGTTGCATTTGTAAATTAGGCAAATAAAACTTTAGTTTTCAAAACACCTTCTAATTCACAGTTGCAACTGTAAATTAGGAGATATTAACAAAAAAGATTTCTCTGCCTAATTTACAATTGCAACTGTAAATTAGGCAGATAAATCTTTTTTTTTCTAAATATCTCCTTATTTACATTTGCAACTGTAAATTAGGTGTCTTGAAAAAAAAAAGGTTTATCTGCCTAATTCACAGTTGCAACTGAAAATTAGGATACTATACTATACTACTACTATTCAGTAATACCTTATTGTTTTGAAAAACATTTGAAGAAAAGAAATATATAAACTTACAATATCGACATTTATTTCAATAATTTATTTTCAGATCTAGTATAATGGTCAGATAATTGTAATAATCGAAAACAATAAATATTTCATATTCCTCAACTACATTGTAATGAGAAGAATCCAAGTTTATTGAACCCATTCTACCTATTTATTGGTTTCCAACATACCAATAATTTCTGCTACCAACTTGTCTCTGTTAGTTTCGTTCACCTAAAATCAAGAGAATAATTGAAACCTCAAATTAACGAAATAGAATATTGATAGCATTCACAAAATAAATTATTTTTCATAAAAAAAAAAACAAGAAAAGAGCTATACAGGTTGATTCAAAATTCGAGGTAAATATTTTGAGGACCTATTTCTTTTGCGTCGGCAATAAGTACCACGTGAATAGAAAATATTCACAGCTTCCACATCATGATCATAACACTCGTCAAAAACATCATTACGTCACACCATTGATGCTCAAAACTAGTTCCCAAAGATCATACTTTTATTTCGCACCAAAACTATACAATACGATACCAGAAAACATAAAGAATATCCCGCATATATCTTCTTTCACGAAGAGCCTAAGAGAGTTTATCCTCATAAATCCCCGTAGCACAATTGATAGTTATTTTAACTGATGGTTTTATCAAAGTTATATACAGGGTGGGCCACCATAGTAACGCCTCGGTCTCTAGAAGGCTAACCACTTATCTTCTTGGAATTCTTCCTCTCTAGGAAGTTGCATGTCAACATAGGCTACCATTTAAAATTATTTCGAAACATACAGGGTGTCTTCAAAAACCATAAAACACTGAAGTTAAACTTTTTTCTATGGAACACCCTATATATTATTTCATTTTGAGATTCTCCCTGATGAGTTGATTTCAACGACCCTTCATACTTGGGGTCTAGCAGTTATAATTACTGAGATATAGGGTGTGAGAAATCGAGATTTTTCAAGTTCAGGAAACAAATACAGGGTGGTACAGAATTCAGAATCTTGATCACCCGGTATATGTCCCAATTAAATATCAGTAGATAGTTAATCAAAAGTTGAGATAGGGACATGTAAGCCGTTTTGACCAATGATGAATAGTTTCGACACAAAAAATTCTTGAACTTGGAAAATCTCGATTTTTCACACCCTATCTTTCAGTAATTATAACTGCTAGACCCCAAGTATGATGGGTCGTTGAAATCAGCTCATCAGGGAGAATTTCAAAATGAAACAATATATAGGGTGTTCGATAGAAAAGAGTTTAACTTCAGTGTTTTATGGTTTTTGGCGACACCCTGTATGTTTCGAAATAATTTTAAATGGTAGCCTATGTTGACATGCAACTTCCTAGAGAGAAAGAATTCCAAGAAGATAAGTGGTTAGCCTTCTAGAGACCGAGGCGTTACTGGTGGCCCACCCTGTATATTATGCATTACTTTTTTATGTGTATTCCAACTTTTTCATTATATTATTTTTTCCATGCAACCTGTATTCAACTTGTGATAATTATACCTTGTAGTCATATAGCAATTACTTTAAGCTCTTTTGTGTTGTTTTATTCGAGGGTTTTTAAGTCTCTTTTTTTCCTTATTGTCATTTTTACACTATCTGTCATTTATATAGGTATATTATCTAATTAGTATTAGTTACTATCATACTAGTATCAGTTATAATTATCTCGGAACAAGTGGATTGTCACTTATCGAGTATATTTTATTCACAACTGTATTCTGGTTCAATTATTTACTTGATTTTTATTTTTTTGTGAATAAAGTTATTATCATTATAGTTATTATTATTATTTTTATCAGAATAAGACTTTTTCTGCATATAAACATGTCTCCTAACATGCACCCCATTTTTGCCAAGTGCGAGGACTTACCCCTTCTAACTCTCCCAAACCTGGGTTTACCTAATTTTTTAAGCAAGAAGGAAATAAAGTGTCTAAAAGGACAGGGGCGTGACAATTTTCAGAAGATTTGATTGGTTATTTCAGTCACAATTTTCGATAATCTTCATTCTTAACTTAATCCACAGTTGCTGTAAGTAGTGTAAGTCGATAGAGCTGAATTTTAGGACTAATATTTATAAAAATAATAAGTCTTATTTTGATCACAACAATATGTAAGTACAGTGCAGACTCGATAATCCGAACGTTCAATAATCCGAATTCTTCAGTAGTCCGAACAAGCATTTTTAATACATTGAGTACTCTATAATCCGAATTTCATAGTACTCGATAATCCGAACCTATACCTTTAGGCCTATTTATTTCCTATAGAAATTGTGAGTGAAATGTTCAGGGATTCCCCTAATTGTTCTTTTGTTAGTATCTGGGATTCACATTACATGCACAAGGAAGAAAATAATATTCTGTTAAATGATATTCTTGTACTTCAAAGATCAAAAGAAATGGCCTTTATAAATAAATAATCAAAGATGTGTTAAGCAAACAAAAATTACAAATTACTTTAGAAACTAGTATTATATTCTTACTTTTATGCATATTTTAGTGTTACTTTTTCGTATTTATGTTTTTTTTTGCATTTCGTAATAAAAAATAAAAAAAAAACTGCTTCGATAGTAATCCTAATTTTTTGGTAGTCCGAATCGCCTTAGTTTTTATTAGTTCGGATTATCGAGTCTGCACTGTACTTGGAATATTTACATCAAATTTTGAATCACCCTGTATATAGATTCTCCATCAAATTGCATCAAGTATTCCAATTCGAATGATATGAGAGCTCACCAATATTACATCACAGTTTGGATCATCTTTCAGTTGTTTAACTAATGCTGGACCACCTATCAAAGGAACTGTAGCAATTATTCTGATATTTTTATCGATAATAACTTTTCTAATATGACCTTCAAATTTCCTGCTGAATAATTCCATTTTGCCTATTTCATCAATAATCAATAGCGATTTCGGCTGAAAAATGCATTACAGGTACAGGGTGCGCCTCTTAAAATGGAACCCCCCCTTAACTCTTTTGTTTTCGGAGATATGAAACAATGTTAAATGATTTTTTTTTTTTGAAACGACCCAAATTTTTATTTCGTAAAGTTGTTTCATATACAGGGTCATTCGTTTTTCCAGAAAGAACATCAACTTTGATTTTTTCAAACACCCTATATATTTTCCGACATGTCGATAGAGCTTTTTTTATGATTCCAAAAATATATATGAGTTGCATATTGGAATGAAGAATAATTGAGTTATTGATGATCAAAGTTGACCAAAATACCGCTTCATGAGTTCTTACTTTATATCATAGTTGAACAACGTGGGCTTTGAAAAAATATTCCATGGAAAAGTCAATAAACGACAAATCATTATGTGGATAGATTTAGTATCACACTATAACAGTGACGTATGCGTAGATGTCGAAATAGCATCAAGAGTTCTTGACAACAAAACTTGAATGAATCTTTATGAACAATATTTATTGAATGAACTATATGAGATTGTGAATACACATTAGAGCTATCTACAACAAATTTTCAAAAAATTCCGCCATTCTGGTCAATGCAGAGTTGGCACCTTGCTATAAAATTTTGGCGAACCCTTTCGAATAATATTGGATCATTATTCAATAATTGAATTTCTTCTGTTATTTTATTTTTCAAGAAGTCAGTATCTGGAATATCATGTGTATAGATCTTGTCTTTCAGCGCTCCCCACAGGAAGAAATCACAAGACGTCAGATCTGGGCTACAAGGCGGGTAAAATATTGGTCCTCGCATTTCAATCCAAGTGTCATAATTGAGGTAGTTCGTGACCTCAATTCCATTGTGAGGAGGTGCACCATCCTGCTGCCATACCAATTGGTTTCGTCTATTCAAATGGATTGCTCTATCAAGCAGGTTTTCAATATCACCTTGCAACATATCCAAATATTTTTGCCCCGTAAGACTGCCATCAATGAAGATGGGACCAATTACTTTAGTGTTATAAACACTGTACCAGACATTCACACTTCTCCGGCCTTGTTTTTTAATCGGTTTCATTACTCTCGGATTAACCGTAGCCCAGTTATGCTCATTTTTCCTATTGAACACTCCTGAAGTTGAAAATGAACACGCATCCGTGAATAAAATATTCTCAGTGAAATTTTCATCGCGATTATGTCTTTCAATTATTTCATGACAAAATCGTAAACGATTTGGATGATCTCGAGGAAACAAATAATTCACTGGTATTACTTTGTATGGCTTCATATGATGCTTCTTCAAAACTCGTCCCACACTTGTCGTGGATATATTGAAGTAATTTGCAGCCATTCTTGTCGAACGACTCGGGTCTTCAATGAAATAAAGTAATATAATTTCCTCTGTCCCTTCTATGAGTACCGTTTTTTGCCGATTCCTCTTCATATCACCCAAATTACCACTATCTCGTCTGAACTTTTCGAAGATCCTCTTGAAGGTATTTGATGATGGAAGTGGACGATCACCAAACCGATGCGCGATTTCGCATCTTTCATTCAAACTGTAACCCATATTTTTTTTTCTATAGAAATCGAACGTTTTCAAATTCATGATAAACATGGAGCTCAAACAATTTATAAACATTATTTCAAAGCCCACTATGTTCAACTTACATTAGATGATATTACCTATGAAGTGAAGATTCATAAAGCGGTATTCTGGTCAACTTTGATCATCAATAACTCAATTATTTTTCATCCGAATATGCAACTCATATATATTTTTGAAATCAGAAAAAAAAAGCTCTATCGACTTGTTGGAAAATATATAGGGTGTTCCATTGGAAAAATCAAAGTTGATATCCTTTCTGGAAAAACGAATGATCCTGTATATGAAACAACTTCACGAAATGAAAGTTTGGGTCGTTTCAAATTTAACATTTTTTCATATCTACGAAAAAAAAAGAGTTAAGGGGGGTTCCATTTTAAGAGGCGCACCCTGTACACAGAGTGAGAGTATTCATTGAGACATTGGAATCTTTCTGAATAGGTACTAATGAATCACATAATATTCACCCTACTTAACATGGCAAAATACATACAGTATTTGAGAATAGTATTCACCGACAAAAAAACGGCCACCAGAATATTCAGCCCAATTGTTCGCCCTGTACCTCATTCAATTTTTATTTATTCAGTATTTTGGCTACCCAACAGATAGCACATGCTATCCTATTACAGGGCCGCCCTCAGTTACAAAAATATAATACTTTGAAATCGAAAGTCTATACTACAACAACTATAAATATAACTACTTAGCTAAAATACTGAGATGATGTAATAGTAGATTGTTTTATTAGGATCAAAATTGACACTTTATTTGACAAGCGAATTTTGCATTTGCGAGGCGGAGCGTTTAGCGAAGCCGATCGAAAGCAAAATTTGCGAGTCGAGCAAAGTCACTTTTGATCCGAATGAAACATGCTATTTTTTCTGCAACCGAAACAATTAAGTCAAATAAACATGTGAAGTAACCACAAATGCCGTGCCATATGTATGCAATGCAACAAATATTGACAAATAATCCATGTGGTGAGAATATTCTACCTGCATTAACAGCAGGTTAGGTTTTCAAGGATGTTCGAATTGTAGTTTTAAGATGAAAACAACCACAGAGTGACATATTTGTGTATGGACCAGGTGCTCTAATGGCAAATACTGCGCCAGTGCCAGCTAATAGGAACAAGACGTGGAAAATGTTAGGTTAGTGAGCATATCAACAATGATAATAGTGATTATTTATTCCTCTCCATACTACACTGTGTTTGACTTGATAATCAAATGAAGCTAAACAATATCGTTGTTTGAGACTAAAAACTATTGCTTGCCGTGATTATTCAAAAACAAGTTATCTATCCCGAGAATAACGAATGAAATACAGATCAAGCAAGTATTTGAATCTTGAAGGCTTCCCTGATCAAACAAAAATACTTAGCTGATATGTTTATAATTCCAATACTAAACTATAATAAGATGTATTTATATCTCCAGCATGGGTATGAAATGCCAAATCTGCTGAAATCGGAAACAATAATCAGGTATGCGTCTCAACCCAAATAACCAACCGTGACAATGTTGTTTATTCTTGATGACGTCCAGTACACCCTTTTTAGTTCCTAGGAGCTAAAGTTGAACTTTAGCTCCTAGGAACTGAAATTCAACTTTAGCTTCTAGGAACTAAATATGTTGCCTGTCAGTGTAGTCAGTATCTGGAATATCATGTTTATAGATTTTGTCTTTCAGCGCTCCCCACAGGAAAAAATCATAAGACGTCAGATCTGGGCTACGGGGCGGGAAAAATATTGGTCCTCGCAATCCAATCCAAGTGTCATAACTCTCATTGAGGAAGTTCGTGACTTCAATTCCATTGTGAGGAGGTGCACCATCCTGCTGCCATACCAATTGGTTTCGTCTATTCAAAGGGATTGCTTCATCAAGCAAGTTCTCAATATCACCTTGCAACATATCCAAATATTTTTGCCCCGTAAGACTGCCATCAATGAAGATGGGACCAATTACTTCAGTGTTATAAACACTGTACCAGACATTCACACTTCTCCGGCATATCAACAATGATAATAGTGATTATTTATTCCTCTCCATACTACACTGTGTTTGACTTGATAATCAAATGAAGCTAAACAATATCGTTGTTTGAGACTGAAAACTATTGCTTGCCGTGATTATTCAAAAACAAGTTATCTATCCCGAGCAGAATAACGAATGAAATACAGATCAAGCAAGTATTTGAATCTTGAAGGCTTCCCTGATCAAACAAAAATACTTAGCTGATATGTTTATAATTCCAATACTAAACTATAATAAGATGTATTTATATCTCCAGCATGGGTATGAAATGCCAAATCTGCTGAAATCGGAAACAATAATCAGGTATGCGTCTCAACCCAAATAACCAACCGTGACAATGTTGTTTATTCTTGATGACGTCCAGTACATCCTTTTTAGTTCCTAGGAGCTAAAGTTGAACTTTAGCTCCTAGGAACTGAAATTCAACTTTAGCTTCTAGGAACTAAATATGTTGCCTAGCAACATACCTATTTTTGAGTCAGTAATAGAAACGTCAATTCGGGAGCTAATTTTGGTATCAAAATGGACGACTTTTGTGTCGGTTGCAGAAAAAATTTAATTTATTGTGCCAATTCGAGGAACATGATTTTTCACTGATTTGAGCAAAAAATATAGAATTTTACAATCCGTTTAAACGAACTGAGATTCAGACAAAAAAGTCTATATTCTCACTACTCCAGACAAGATTATTGTACAAGGTGGAGCAAAAGAAACTAAGGGGTTTGAAAGGCCTATAACTTTTTTGATTCAATATTATTGTTTGTCAGATTCTTGATTTGTGTTAACAAGACTTGGGAAATTCGAAATGAAAAATTACATGACTGAGCAACGAACGAAAATCATTGAATTTTATTTTGAAAACCAACGGTCAATTATTCTGACTCAACGCGCCTATCGCCGTTCTTTCCATGTTAGAAATGGTCCATCAGTAGCAACGATAAATCGTTTAATTGCACGTTTTTGACAAGAAAGTGCTGTCTCTGACCTTCTTCGGACTCGAAGACCAAAAGAAAATTTTCAACGCGTGCAGGAGAGTGTGCTCGAACATCCAACAACTTCAACAAGGAAACGTTCAACGCAACTTCGGTTGTCGCGGAGATCGATTCAACGGATTTTGGCCAAACTGAAGATGTTTCCATATGAAGTGCAGCTTGTTCAAGAGCTAAAACCCACCGATTATCAGCAGTGGCTTGATTTTGCAGTTTTTTTTTAAGCAAAAAGCGGAAGTAAATCATGATTTCGTGCACAATCTGATAATGAGTGACGAAGCTCATTTTCAGGATTCGTCCTCAGACGAATAAAAGAGATTATTCGTCTGAGGATTCGTCAAAAAGCAAAACTGCCGAATATGGTC